ACCCTCCAGAGGATTTGCCAGCCTTCCTGATCAGGCCATTTTTTGCGATACGGTGCTGTGTTGTATTGACTGACAATTGCACGGTCATGCTGTACACACAGTAAATGAAATATCTAATCTTTTCCCACAAACAGAGCTTTCTCCTACCCAGAAATGCCGCCCTATAGCAGTACATCTGCTATAGGGCAGTGGACAAGTGGTTAACAAACAGAAAAAGGCAAGGTAAGGAACTGCTAGGGATCCATTCAGGACATGAATGAGGAAAAAAAACATAATCACAAGTATTTATCTTTTATGGAATATAGAGGACCTATATGACCCTCCTTTGGCAGCAATAACCTCAACCAAACGTTTCCTGTAGTTGCAGATCAGACCTGCACAACGATCTGGAGTAATTTTGGACCACTCCTCTTCACAAAACTGTTTCAGTGTAGCAATATTCTTGGGATGTCTGATGTGAATCGCTCTCTTAAGGTCATGCCACAGCATTTCAATCGGGTTGAGGTCAGGACTCTGACTGGGCCACTCCAGAAGGCGTATTCTGTGCTGTTGCAGCCATTGTTTTGTTGAATTACTTGTATGCTTTGGGTCATTGTCCTGTTGCATCACCCATCCTCTGCGGAGCTTCAGTTGGCGGACAGATGGTCGTACGTTTTCCTGCAAAATGTCTTGATAAACTCTGGAATTCATTTTCCCATCAATGACAACAATCCGTCCAGGCCCTGAGGCAGCAAAGCAGCCCCAAACCATGATGCTCCCTCCGCCACTTTTTACAGTGGGGATGGGGTTTTGATGTTGGTGTGCTGTGCCTTTTTTTCTCCACACATAGTGTTGTGTGTTCTTCCCAAACAACTCAATCTTGGTTTCATCTGTCCACAGTATATTTTGCCAGTAGTGCTGTGGAACACCCAGGTGCTCTTTGCAAACTTCAAACGTGCTGCAATATTCTTTTTGGACAGCAATGGCTTCCTCCGTGGTGTCCTCCCATGTATTACATTCTTGTTTAATGTTTTCCTTATTGTAGATGTGTCAACAAAAATGTTAGCATGTGTCAGAGATTTCTGTAGGTCTTTAGCTGACACTCTGGGATTCTTCTTTACTTCATGCAGCATTGTGCGCTGTGCTCTTGCAGTCATTTTTACAGGACGACCACGCCTAGGGAAAGTAGCAACAGTGCTAAACTTTCTCCATTTGTAGACAGTCTGTCTTACCGTGGACACATGAACATCAAGGCTTTTGGAGATACTTTTGTAACCCTTTCCAGCTTCATGCAAGTCAACAATTCTTGATCGTAGGTCTTCTGAGAGCTCTTTTCTGTGAGGCATGGTTCACATCAGACAGTGCTTCTTGAAACCAGTAAACCCAAAACAGGTGTGTGTGTTTTTTAAGGTCAGGACAGCTGTCAGCAACACATCCAATATCATCACACTGATTGGAGTCAAGGTTGGCTCACTCCTGGCTCCAATTAGCTCTGGGAGAAGTCATTAAGCTAGAGCCTCACATACTTTTACCTCCCTGCACTGTGAATGTTTACATGTTATGTGCAATTAAACCATGGCAACATCTAATGTTTGTGTAGTATTATGTTCAGCAGACTGTGTTCTTCTATTGTTGTGACTTAGATGACGTTCAGAGCACATTTTATGCCCAATTCATGCAAAACTCCACGTAATCCCAAGGGGTTCACATACTTTTTCTTGCAACTGTATATAAACACACAATATATATGCTGTATATCTTTTTTTTCTTGTTTTTTGTTTTACAAATTTTTTTACAACCTGTCACCTGAACAATGCAGTGTTCCTATGCTGACTATATGAACAATAATTTCTGACAGTTCTCTGCTGCATTCCTTCAGCCATTGAGTACACTGTCATAATCTGTGATTGGCTGAAGCTATCACATGGTGCAGGGAAGCAGTGCTTGGCCCTGTACCATGTGATCACTGTGACCAATCATAGCTCACAGTAGTTCTGAATGGCTGCAGAAAATGGCAGCCATTGTTATGACAGGACATGTAATTGCTGTGATTGGTCACAGTGATCTCATGGTACCAAGGAAGAGCACCGCCGCTCTGTACTCGGATCAGTTATCACTGTGTCATGCAATTGAGCTAATGCATGCCCCATGGGGGTGTGCAGAAGGCGCAGATCTGGGAGGACATATGGGTACAATGGGGTTCAGATTCTACACCTGCACTTTAATAAAGTTAGATAAACCCACCTCAAACTAAATCCAGGTATGTTCAGCTAGCTTATCTCTACTCCCCATCAAGGGAGCATGTGACAGGGTGACAATGAAGGAGCACAAATAAGGGACAGCTGTCCCTCTATAACAGGAGATGCCTGTACAGGAAGTTTCATGGCAGGATCACCAGGTATTATTGAATGAAAGCTACAGATTTAAATAAAATTGATAATAATTTTTTTTTAATTAATTAACATGTTAAAGCTTATAAAAGATTTTAGTAATTGTATTTAGAGCTACTTAGAGCTACTTTAATTTCTAAATTTTCATATAGTACATATATAGTACATATAGTACATACATTCAGGTACAGGGGTGGACTGACAACTCATGGGGCCCCCCCCGGCAATAGGGGATCATGGGGCCCCTGTGTCCTTGCCCAAACTCAAAAAAGCCTATGAAAAAGGTACCAGGGGCATCTCATGGGGCCCCCTACTGACCCCGGGCCCTCGGGCAGTGCCCGAGTTTCCAAATGGTCAGTCCATCCCTGTTCAGGTAGCTGATATGTGTTCCATGACATACAAATTTGTGGCTGTATTTTCAGATGATACACCATGGCTTTCAGGAACATGGTGCTAGCATGAGCATGTACATTTCTACGGGCATAGAAATCAGACTGTATATACTGTACATCATTGCTTACACATACCAGCATGCATACGCGTTGATTGCGTGCATATCCAAGCAGCCTATTTAAACCTGAACTGTACATTAGCCCTTTGCTGAATGGTCTCCAACCTTGTTACAGTTATCCAATTCCAGATACACATCTTGATATTGTTACTGACTCAGCTTACTCTTTGACCTTGCTCTTGGATTATCCTTATTTGTTCATGTTCACTGTCTGCCTCTACTACTGGCCTTGCCTTGGACTTCTGACTATGCTTTTTCCTAGTGAATCTGTACCTCTCTGCTTACATCCTGATGTTCTTCCACTCTGCCATCACTCGACTAGGTTTGGTACCTGACTCCATCCTCAACTGAACTTGGCATCACTATATTGCCTTGTCAGTTGTATCTTTGCTTGTCAGATACCAGCATTCTCAAATTCCTGCTCACAGTGGCTAAAACTAGGCACTTGTACCTTTCCTTCACCCCTTTAGGCCCTGTCTCAACATCCAGGGGTTCTTGGACAGGAGCTACATTAGCAGTTGCCCTCAACATCTCAGGCTCTGCATACAGGCATGTGGCAATGGCTCACTGTAAAATGTATTTAATGAAATTGGGCTTAATACAAACTGCAGTTTTAATGTTAGAGTAAACAATGTTAATGTAGACACATCTTAAAGCTTCATAATCTGTTGCTATAGCTTTACCACACATTACGTGGAGGTGCATATTGGACCTGCAGTAACCACAAACATAATTTGGCAGTAACTTGTCTTGAATATATTTGAGCTGCTTGCAATTGTACCTACATATGCTGGTTGATGATCTTTTAGGCCTCATGCACACAGAGCATTTTTGCAGCCACTTTTAAGGGCATCTGTGTTTTATTTACTGCTTCCAAACAGCCCTCCATATTATCCTGTGCCCAAGCTCTTAGTAGCAATAGCATTTACCAGCAGGGAAAAAAAACCCAGGGTCAGTGCATCCAGGAGCAGCAGCGTTTTGGCATAAAAAAGGTGACAGCTCCTAAACTCTGCTAAACAACGGTGCCCAAGGTTTAGTAGAGTAGGAGAGGGCCTTTTAACAACAGAATCATCAGCTGTCAGCAGGGTTCCAGCTCAATGTATTGATTTTAAGGGGAACCGCATGCCAAAATGTAAAAAAAAATGGCATGGGTCCCCCCAAAATCCACTCCAGACTCTTATCCAGGCATTCAACCTGGCAGGTCAGGAAAGGGGCGAGCAAACAGCCCCCCTCCTGAACCATACCAGGCCACATGCCCTCAACATGGGGGGGTGCTTTGGGGCTGAGGGGTCCCCCCCAAAGCACCTTGTCCCCATGTTGATGAGGACAAGGGCCTCTTCCCCACAACCCTGGCTGGTGGTTGTGAGGGTCTGCAGGAGGAGGGCTTATCAAAATCTGGAAGCCCTCTTTAACAAAAGGGCCCCAGATCCCACCCCCCCATGTGAATGAGTCGGGGGTACTCTTACTCATTCATCAAAAATGTGTAAAAAGTAAATAAAAACACAACACAAGTTTTTGACAAGTCCTTTATTAAAAAATCAAAAATAGACAAAAAAAATGTCCTCCTGGAATAGATCCATCATTGGTCACAATGACCGCTGCCACCACCGACTTGCAAACAAAAAACCTCTGGTCCCGATGACGGCTCCCACCGTCTGGCAGTTCCCCTGTCTCAGCTCTTAGATACCTAAGGAACGGGGCCATCTGGTGAGGTCACAGGGTGACCCCACCCCCTTATGACATCACCAACACAGGACAGGCAATGTTTTTACATTCAGCTGTCAGTGGGGAAGACTGCTGGCAGCTGATGACTCATCCATTGTTGAGGGCGCAGTAGCCAGCTTCCTGGCCCACTCCTTAACAACAGTGGCCCCGCTCCTTAACGCTGAAGCTACTAAATGTAGCTTACACACTAGCCTAAACACTACTAAATGCTGGCAAAAAAAATGCTAAAACATTAGCATTTTTGGTCCAGAGTTTCTAAAGCAGTTTTTAGCTTTTCTAGTGTGCATGAGACCTTATACTTGACACATTTTTTAAATGAAATATATAAAAATGAGAAAATACCAGTAAGTAGAATTAAACTTTCAGCTTTATATACAACATTTTTTCTCTGTAAATTAACCATAAGAAGCTTTGTCTACAAGCCTTTGAAAAGCTTTTTTCACTTCATTGTTCCGAAGAGTGTATATAAGTGGGTTAAGCATTGGAACAAACACAAGAAAAAGAAGTGACCACACTTTGGGTCCACCATATGTATCAATAGCTTTTGTTCTTAAGTAGGTTATGGTGGCTGACCCAAAGAACAGGCATACAGATGTAAGATGGGAGCCGCATGTTGAAAAAGCTTTTTTACGCCCGGCTGAAGAATGCATTCTAAACACATTAACAAGGATACGGACATAGGATATAAGAATGAGTAAAAATGGTAGGGGTATGACTAAAAATGTATAGATTAAAATATATAGCTTTATTACAAATAGGATAGTAAGAGGAGTGTCGGAACAAACCCAGTGAACTACTTGTAGTATATCACAAAAGAAATGATCAATGATGTTTGAATTACAGAAATGTAGGCCAAACACAAGAATAATATTACCCAGGGGTAAGAATAAACCAGCCACCCATGATCCTACTGAAATGCATAGACACTTTGACTTTGTCATCATAGTCATGTAATGAAGAGGGTGACAAATGGCCAAATACCGATCATAAGCCATGAATGCAAGTATAAAGCATTCTGCTGCTCCCAAGAAACAAAAGAAGTAGAACTGGGCTGCACAACTTAGAATGGAAATTGTTTTTATCTTGGTACAAGATGTCTCTTAGCATCCGAGGCATTGTTACAGTGGTGTAGAGCATCTCGGTGGCAGATAAGCTTCTGAGAAATAGATACATAGGAGTGTGTAGCTGTGAAACTAGAGTAACAATCAAAATGATAATTAAATTTCCAGTCAAAGTGAAAATGTAAATAAGTAAAAATACACCAAAAAGAATTGGTTGATACTCAGAAGAGAGTCCCATCAAGACAAATTCAGTCATTTGGGTTTCATTTTCTCTAGCCATAGACACTTCTTTCAAATTCTGAAAAGATATACACATAAATCAGTCAATTTGCAAAAACAGCTTCAGAATGTTTTGCAAATGAAATACAACAGGAATAAAAGGTCATGGTGTGCGTGTATTATGGGCCATAGGCATAATTGGACTTTGGGTCTTTTTTTTTTGTCTCCCTCACCATACACTGATGTCCAAATGTATACAGTACAGTCCTGGCTTGCAAAGAATGCTTGCATCCAAGAATCCAAATTTTGCACACACACATAACCTAAACTTTTTTTTCATTTGGGTAGAGTTGGAAGAGGTTAAAGCTCTTGACAGGTTATTGCAGAAATATAACTTGACTATAGCTTGACTTATAGACACAAAAGGAAGTAAGATGAAATCTCTCTGTAAGAAAAATGTTTTCTTAGACAGGATTCTTCTCTATTCCTGTTCTGTGACAACTCGTCATTTTTGATGTTGCCTAAACTTAAGTGATTGTCATCATCAGGACAAATTTAGAGAGTGAATCCCCTCAGCATGGAAACAAACAGCAATAAAAATACGCGAAGCAAAAATGGCAACAACTTAGATCAAATTATACCTAGCATAAGTAGGATGCACCTCAGCAGAACAGTTCACAGAACAGTACAACGCACTTAATTAATCAGCAACAAAGCAAAGTCTGAACTGCTTGAACAATTTGTGTTAAAAGAAGGAGCAATAAAAACATGATAGACATTCTAACTCCTCACCAATTTGTTCAAAATTTAAAAAATGTATGGCATTGGATACGTTTACATGTTTGCACAGGCCAGGATTTTTCTTTTTTTTTGTATTTTTTTTTAATTAATAGAATATACTAGCTGCTAGATGAAAAAATAAAGCTTGATTTCCATCTATTTTTTTAAATTTTGAGTAAAGGGGGAAAGGTTGTCACACCTGTTACACAGCATGTCTCAGGGAAAGAAAGTGAAGTGAAACATCCAAAGTAGGGACAAATAAATTAGTTAAAACTGGTGGTTTTGATTTGATCTGGTTTGCTTTCCTCAAGTCTTTGAATACCTTTTCTTATAAACTCAAAAATAGAGACTTTGGCAGGAGGTAGAAATCACATAAGAATACTGTATCTTAGATTCCAGATGTGTCAGTGAAAGACTGTGACTATACCTTGCATAATTTTGCGCTACACAATTGTTTCTTGCAATATCTTAAGAATAAAGCCAAATTTGCAAGGCTAGCATTTGTGGTAACTTTTTTTCATTTTTGTTTTCTTTTTGATTTTGTGAAGCTAGTAAATATTTTTAAATTTACTATAATGTCCAAGTTTACATAACCAAATATTTGGTACAATAATAACTGTCTAAAACAAGAAGTTCATCACTTACTACTATCTATACATAATTTCCAAATGGCTTGAAGTGAAAAAACAGGGATGTTCTGGCTGATTTATCTTGTTTTAAAATGTAGCTCTTCCCTTGAGAGTCCCTCAGGTGTACTGTCTCTGAGAGGTTTACTATAAGTCATTTTATGCTTATTTCCACTGGGTCCACAGGACACTGGATTTTTTTAAAAAAACAACTAGGGAGTCTTTTTTAGCAAACATCTTTTTGTAATGGCAATATACAGTATTAGTTCACAATGGCGTAGCACTTAAGATTATAAATAAATATACCTACTATCTTAAAATCTTTGTCTGTACTCAGGGACGGACTGACCATTTGGAAACTCGGGCATTGCCCGAGGGCCTGGGGTCAGTAGGGGGCCCCATGAGATGCCCCTGGTACATTTTCCATAGGCTTTTTTGAGTTTGGGCAAGGACACAGGGGCCCCATGATCCCCTATTGCCTGGGGGCCCCATGTGTTGTCAGTCCACCCCTGTCTATACTATATTGTGCATCGTAAACTTCCTGCCATGAACATACATGGATAAATAAATAAATTATAAAATACTTTTCTTTGTGTCTGTTAATTTTGTCACAGCTAGATCAAATAAAATGATTTAATGTGCTCTTAATAAAGGGTCCATGTACTGTGCCACAGTTTATATACAAAGACGTCAGTTTTCCTGCACAAATCTGCTTCACTGTGCTTCATTCTATCAAAAGGTGCTTTTCACAGAGTTCAGTGATTGTGAATTCCAAGTGCCACTACACACAATCCCTTTGGGAGCCACACTCCCCTAGATTACACATGAACCCATATTGTTATAAGAAGGTCTTAAGTGGTTTGAGACATATATTACAGTTCCACCAGGATCATTCCTATGCCTCCTTCCTTTTAAGATGTCACCATAAACGTCAGCCTCCAGCACTCTCCATGGCTCCAGAAAATGAAAAGAGGGAAAAACCTATCATAAAGTAACACTGCTTTATTATTAAAGTACACACAATCTAGATTGCACACATACAAGTTTATGTAAAGGAATCAGCCCATACAATTTGCACTCTTAAGCCCTATAAAAATCGAACATATTTTATTTCCTTCTGGATAGAACAAGAAAGGGATAGAGCTTCTGTTGGGTTTCTATTGCTGTCTATATTTCTCTTGAGAGATTTCCCCTCAATTCCTGTCAGAAAAGAAAATGATGGTGGCAAAAATGTCAAAACGTTGTTAATAAAATACAAGTTGAAGCATATAATTGTGAATAGTACATTGAGATCTTACCATTCTTTTTCATAATGGAAAGTATATAAAACTACATATTTAAGTGGGTTTCCAAAAAGGCAGTTACATTGTTTTATTGACACTAGTGATGGACAAATGCTAAGGTTTAATTAACCACGGTTTTGGCAATTCGCGTTTAAAGTTCAGTGAACTAGAACATAGAGGCAAATGGCAGTGAAGTGTTTGGGGTGAAGAAAAAAAAGGCAGCCTTGGAAGCTTGGAACTGCCATGGGGGACATGTATCAATGAACAACAAAAAAAAAATACTGTAGAGATGTGAAGAGAATGTTTTTCACATGCTTTTTAGTCAAACGGTAATTGGCCAATAGCTTTTTACTGCTGCTGCCTTGTTCTTGCTAATGCAAAACTGTTCTGCCACCGGCCAATTTCTGTCAAACTTAAATTAAAAATTAAGAGCTTGCCAATGATACAGCATTTTTTAATTGACTAGAACCAGGACATTTTTAATTAGGGAAATTGTACCTAGAGATAAAGAGCACAGACAGGTATTTTACTACATTAATTTCAGATGACACAGCAATGTAAAATTGTCCAGAAGCAGGAAAATGTCAAATAGCAAGACTGGGCCTAAATTTGCTAGAGACAAAACACATGAGCATATACTTTACTACAAGAATACAGATAATGCAGATGATACAGCAGCATAAAATCAGCACGTGGATATGAGACCAAAATGTACTGACTAAATGTACAGCTAGGGGTTTCAATCTCAAGAATTAAGAGACAGCAGATACAATAGTGTAAAGGTTTATAAAAGCAAGACAATTTTAATGAGCAAGGCTAGGTCCAAATTTAATAGAGACAAATGTCAAAGGCTGGGATTTTAGTAAATGAATTAAGATACCGCAGATGATAATGCAGTGTTCACATCACCAGCAGCAGAACAGTTTTAATTAGTAATAGTAGGCCTAGCTTTTATTATTTTGTTGATAGGGGGTGCATTGAATGTGACCAATATATTATAAGGTGGTGTAGGTGCATATTGTTCTTCCACTTTTTTGTTATTTCAAACAATGCAGTGACATGCTGAGAACAAAAAAAAACAACTTTAAGCACCTTAGATTTAAAGTGGTTTAAAGCCATCAGGTTTTTTATCTTGATACCTCCTATGCATTAAGGTAAAAAAAACGTCTGTGCTCACCCCTCGTATACTTACCTGAGCACAGTTTAAATCCAGCTCTGTGCACAAGAGCAGCAAATCTCTCGCTGCTGTCAATTAAATTTTGTGACGATGGAGCAGGGTGTGTGGTCAAGCCGCTCTGTCTGGGTTAATAGAGGCTTTCTGTAGGGGCAATTCCTGAAGAGAAGGAGCCAGGAGTGCAGGTGGGGGACCCTAGAAGAAAAGAAATGGGGCTGCTCTGTGAAAAACCATTGCACAGAGCAGGTAAATTTGCTATGTTTATTATTTTATGAAACAAAACACTGCAGCTTTACAATCACTTTAAAAAAACGCCTTATCAACATAAAATTAAAATTAAAAAAGACCAACGATACTTTACTGAGAAGGGTCATTTGACAGTGGCCTTAGATTTATGGTGATTGATAAAATACCTAAACAGAAGAAAGGGGGTGACCAGGTTCTATTACTGCAGAAAAAAGAGGCATGGTTAATACATTGGTGGTAAGCATTACATCCTGCAGGTCTTAAAGAATACGTAAACCCAACATTTCATATTCCTGATATGTGCCTGCTGTACCATGTACTTGTATAAAAAGGTATCCTGTTCTTTTTGTATTGCTTACTTTATGTGAAATCCATTCCAGTCCTGCCAGTCCCTCTGCCTTCCTAATAAAGGCTGACCACACTAGGCATGAGAGCACAGTGTGGTCAGTTCTATAACTATGCTAGGAATGCAGCCTGTTCTCCTCCAGTGATCAAACTTGTCCTGACAGGCTCCCCCTCCCTGTACATCCATTGACTGGGAAGATCAGTGGACTGCTGTTTCTCCTCCCCTAGCTCTTATACAGCTGAGAAGACTCTGCTATGCATTGCTTTTTTAGTGATTGAGTGATGAACTGCTTTGTTTACCTTATAAATGCATATAATGACCAAG